CGGCGCCCCCCAAGTTTTGCTTTCTGCAAGGCTGGGGCCGTGTACTTGCGGTTTAAACCTGGGTGGGTTGGCATGCAACCCCCCTTGAGATTAGGGCACACGGAAGGGTACTTGGTTGGAGTTGTATCTGGGTACGCCGGGTTACAGTGGTATGTGATGTATTACCCATGTTCGGGTGGACTGAAATTTGTATTTGAGACCTTCAATTTCTCCCGGCTCACTTTGCCTTGCGGTAAGCGTTCTGATTTTCAATCAGCAGGTTGCAGGTTCAATGCTCGGAGGGAGCGATTGCAATTTTCAGACCCATAGAATTTTGTGCTTGGAAGGCAATGATAGTCTCACTTTGCCTTGTGGTAAGCATTCTGATTTTCAATCAGCAGATTACAGGTTCAATGCCCGGAGGGAGCGATTGCAAATTTCAGACCCATAGATTTTCGCACTTGGAAGGCAATGATAGACTGAGCTTTCACATAGCATGCTTTGAGCTCCAGGGAGATAATACCCACTGCAGGCGGGTCAGCATGCAAACCTCCTTGTGCCCTAACCCCCTTGCGCTTAGGGCACAAGGAGGGCTAGTTGGATGGAGTTGTGTCCCAGTACACCGAGTCCTGGTACTAACCGTGCTGGGGTGGGCTGAAATTTGCTTCAATTTCATTCCAGCTCACTTTGCCTTGCGGTAAGCGTTCTCATTTTCAACCAGCAGGTTGCAGGTTCGATGCCTGAAGGGAGCGATTTTTGATTTTCAGAGCCAGATAATTTCCCGCTTGGAAGGCAATGATAGACTGAAAACCTTTCATTTTTTTTGTTCTTTTTCTTGTATTATGAGGTTTTTAATTGCCATTAATGTGGGAGTCTTTTGTTTTTTTTTCTGCTTTTTTGGGAGAAACTCCGGGAGTTAATGTGGGAGTCTGTTGTGGGCATCAATCATGGTATTCAGTAAATACTGCATACTTTGGGCAGCGATGTAGGTAATCATTATGATGGACATACACATATGCATGCAGACACACACATGCACCATGCACGCATATGCAGACACATACATGCGCACACACAAATGGACATTGCATACATATGCAGACACATACATGCACACACACACACAAGGACATACAACCTCCTTCAGAGCCCATAGAGGTCTGAGGAAGTACTTGTCAGAACACACTCCTGAAGGATCCTCCGATCCTACAGTTTCTTGTGACGTGACGGCCATGATCCAGTCATGGAGGACGCAAGCACTAAGAACTACGTTGTGTGTGTGTGTGTGTGTGTGTGTG